AATTAAAAAGAAACCGAATAGGACAGACGATTGAACAATATTTGCCTTTTTTCTTCTTTTTTTTGGTTAAAAAAGTTGACCTTATAATTAATTGCACATCGATCAATTTCGTTATTTCTTTCGTGTGTAATTTTTCTTTTTTTTTTGGGGGGGGGGGGTTAAAGGTAACCCAAGAGAAATAAGAAAAACAAAAAAAAACTGCGAGAGAATTATTTCGCGTGTATTATTTTCTCTATATTTAAAAATAAAATATAGAAATGTTTAATTTTTTTATTTCTTACCAATCGTCATCGATAAGATATCAAAATAATGATCGACCTTTTTTTTCTTTTTTTTTTTTAAATATAATTATTACGATTATTTATAATTATTAACAATTTCAATAACGTGTTTCTCTCATCGTTCATCTACAAAGAAGATCATGTTATCCAATGGTTCTCTCGTCTGTCCTATTAATCGGTCGTCGTTTTGTTAATTATTTCTATCCGCAATTGAATAGTTTGTCGTTAACAGAGACTACTAATCCAATAACAGGATCTCCTACAATTGCTGTTTTTGCTACTGCTGTTAGTCCTGGTTGCTGTTGCTTTTGCAGTTAGTGTTTGCCGGTGATGGTGATGGTGATGGTATTCTTGCTCCTGCTTCTGCTACTGCTGTTGCTGCTATTGCTGTTGCTACTGCTAGTTCTAACCTTTCAACGGGACATATCGAATTCGATACGGGAGTAATTGCATCGATCGCTGCCAGACCGCCTTCTTCTTCTTCTTCTTTCTCGCTCCACGCAAAGTCACCGTTCCTAACGAGACCCGTAAGAAAAGAAAAGAGACACGTTTCTTCTTACGGGGAGAAGAAAAGAAAAAAAAAGAAATCGGAAAGAAAAAAATTTAATAAATTAAAAAAAAAAAAGAAACAGATATAGTGTGAAACATGGCACGTTCGTTCATGGAAAATTGAGAAACCTAAAGCGACACGCGAGAGAAATCCTCCCGACGATTGACCATACCGATATACATACTATACTTCATAATAAATAAATCATTAACAATGAAAAACAAAATAGAGAGAAGGATTTTTTTGTTTTCTCTCGAAATCGTTGCTTGCAATCGTTCTTTTTTTGTTTTTATACTCGTATTACTCGAGTGTTACTTTACACAATAATCTTTCCTCAATAAGATTTCATTTGCAAATATTTTCTTTTCTTTTTTTTTGGTTTTTGATCGAATTATAAAAACGAACTCGTTACGCGATTTATATTTATTTATTGCAATTGCGTTATAATAAACTCGATATTATTTGCATTATATAAAAAAATGACTTCACTTCGGAGTATATAAAAAAAAAAAAAAAGGGATTAATAAGAATAGACGAAAAAAAAAAAAAGAAAATACAAGAGAAAAAGAAAACAAAAAAGAAAGTAATAATTGTTGTAAATAAAATAAAAAATCTTGTTGTGAATTATGTAAATAAATAAAAATGTGTTACGGTTGCATATGTACGGCATGGATGTATCGACGATTTAAATCGAATCAAGGGGGGAAAATCAATACTTGGACGATATTATGTCATCATCCGATACCGTCGAACGCAGCTAAAGCGATGAACGCGTAACGAAATTCCGGATCATCGAATTCTACGATTACACTTCGACATTACCAATTATTTCTCGACGGTTCGCAAGTTTTCGGGGAAATATCGCGATACACAAATTAATCTTGCGGGCCGACGCATTCGACATCGATCGTGGTTACTTATTCTCCTTATCTTCGTCATCGTCGTAGTTTGCATTGAATTGAATACGATCAAACGATTATTCCGACGGCACGCGGCGTTTTTAACTCTCCTTAAAGAAGAATTAATGTGTTAATTAACAAATATGTGATTTATTTATTTTAGATAAATACATTTTGCTGATCAAAAGAAGAAGAAGAAGGAGAAGAAAAAAAAAAAAGATAAAAGCGATCGGATTAAATTGTTCGATAATTTTCGAGATAATTTTTATCGAACGGCATGAAATATAATCGAATAGATCGATGAAGAAGATCGATATATCCGTTTCTATTCATCGAATGACGTTTATCCGATGTCCTTCTGACGTGAGTAGTCTCGTTACAGAAGGCAAACGTTTAGGCTGGACACTTGTTGCACCGAACTTCTCCAACCAATCGGAACTAAATTTCTTAACGAGTTTTAAAAATATTTTATCGTTTTAACGCGAATTATACGAATGTATATTTTTCGTTCAATTTTAACATAATATATGCGTACGTTTATGTGCGCGCGAGTGTGCGTATGCGTGTGCGTATGTGTCCTGTATTAAATGTAATTTTAATTTGCAATTAAAATTTCGATTATCGTTATTTGTAATCGTTCTTATCGTAACAATCTCTTTCATCGAGAAAAAAGAATAAATTATGTATTATACGTATTGTGTAAAAATAAATTAGAATTTGTTTCCAACGTTGTTATAATACTTGGCAGCGATCGAGCGTTTAAAACATCGTTGTAATTCGATGAGGAATAGAAATAAAAGTAAAAGAAGAATAAGAAGAAGAGGAAGAAGAATTGGAATCGTCGAAGAGCAATAAGAGTATATTAAATAACGTGTGTATATCCTTTTATCACCAATGCCCGTACATTTTCCTCGTGTGCACTGAAAAAGTCGTGCGCGGCAAGCCGCGACATACGGCTATCCGAGAACATTCACACTACTCTTTTTTTTCAGATTTTCTCCGTTTAGATCCTCTCTTATCCGTCGCTGCTTTGCGAGAAACTAGCTTCGAGTTTCTTCTCGGGACGCACCATATCCGCGTGCCACTAACGTCTTCAACGTTAGCTTATCAAAAATGATATAATGATATAAAAGGACGACGCACGACAATAGTAGTCAACGACAATATATCGTAATAAAAATTTAACAACGACAATGGTAACAACGCGATACGTTAATTATGGTTATTATTTGCGTAAGAAAAAATCGAGAACGTGAAGACTATCGTTTAACGTATTTCGAAGAACGCGCCTTGTCAAACCTAACCTCGAATAAGCGCAAGAGCGCCCGAACACCGGCGCGGAGACTGGCGCGACGTACACTGACGGTGGCTCACGATTCGCGCGCTTTTCCTCTCCTCTCTCTCTCCCTTTCGTTTCGTCCTCGTACGGCGGCGTACATCACGCCGTATACGACGTCACGATATACTCGGGTGCCGTTGCTGGTGCTGCTGCTCCGGTCGCGGTGTGGCAGTAACAAAAGACGAGAGGATTCTATCTTTCTCTTTCTCCCCACCCTTTCATCCTCCCTCTTTCTCTCTTACTCGCGCGCGCTTTCTCGAAAGAAGAGAGAGAGGGTACGAGTAGCGCCCGTGGCGCGACTTCAAAATTCAAACGGAGCACGCGAGCCCGCCACTCTTTATCCCTTTCTCGCTCTATCTCTCTCCCTCTCCCTATGTGTATCTCTCACTCGCGAGACCTAACCTCTCCGTGGTCTGTCAAAAATAACGTGTTACTTTACGCGTCCGATATCTCGAGCGGTGGTAACGACGGTGGTTGTGGTGGTTTACCACTGGATCGACTCACCCTGTACTACTATTATAAGTAAGCACGTTATTTAGGTGAGCCGGCTAAAAGGGACGGTTCGTTTGGACGGATAGGTTGGCTTGTTGTGTTGGATGATTATAGGAAACGTAGTTGTCGCGAGATAATATGCAAAAACTAAAAGCATGAATCTAAAAAGAAAAATAGAGTGATGGAATAAGGAAGGACGAAGGAGAGAGGGAAGGACAGATGGAAGGGATAACGAGGGAAGCGAGATGAAGGAACGAGAGAGCGTAGAGAAGGAGGCTAAGGAGGAGCTTGGCGTCAGGATGTTACGAGTGCGGGTGGAAGAGGACAACCACCAGGCCCGTGCAAGCAACCTCGTGGACATGCGAGTGCAGACTGATTGGAGCATGGAGTATGAGGGTACTTACCCACGAGCCCTGAGTACGGCGGCGGAGGTGGCGGTGGAGGTGAGGTGGAGGCGTGGAGGCACCGACCGGCGGCGGTGCTGACGTGCGCGCGTGTTTTCCGCCGCCATGACTGGCGCCACCAGCGCTCCCCCAACCAATGCGCATGTGCGAGATGCGCACTCGTCCGACGCGCACCAAACTCATCGCGACGTACGGACTTCAATCGCGCGTTGTCCGTGCAACCGGTAACGTCTTGAGATTATTGTCTCCTCGTCTTCTTCTCCGAACGAGTTAACTTAAGTAATATTTTCTTCTTCAATTTCCTTTTCTCTTCCAAGAATTATCCTATGGTAATTCTACTTCTTACACTTTCTTGACAATTTCCTGGCGACTTAGGTTTCCAACCATTTAGAAGATGTTTTAATCTGGTTTTTTTCAATTATTTGTAGATTTTGTGAAACGCAAACGATTGTTTATCATTTATTTAATTTACTAATGTCATTACCGGCTTTTTAATATAATTGAAAAGTGTAAACGAGAATTATATGTGTAATTGTGAAAGATTTCATTATATTCTTTTAATATAATCTTTCAGACTTATAAAGTAATTTAAAAAGCCAATAAATACGTATATTTAATTATATAACAATTTAAAACGTGTAATATCATAACTTATCGAATTATTCTGTAAATTGAGCTATTTCATTGTTATGCCTTCTGTTATAAATGAATCTTACATGTTGAAAGAAATCAATGGGATTCATTTTCTTGAAGAATTCTTAATAGCACTATATACAACTTCAAAATTTATTATGCAACTAGATGGCGTACGTTCATGGTCAAACGAATAATGTAATGTGTTACCGACGTTACCGAAGACGAATTTACAAATATCTTACTCATTTATGCAGGTAGATAGCGCATTCGTATTTAAATACGTTACCGACATAAGGTAAATCAGTCGAGTTATCATATGATGTTACCAAAAGATTAACTTACAACACCAAAAATAAGATAGAAGTTTTAAAATTATTAAAATGAATGTAAAAGATTACATATGTTAAGGTAGGTTGTAAAAATTGTTAAATATAATTAACTTATAATGAAAATCTTTTATACAACTTTGATAAATATACCACACCTTTATACAATCATACGCATACATGTACACATTTTATAAGAGTAAAGAATTTAAATCTATGATAAAAAACAGTTTTAAAATTAATAATTGTTTTCAGTCTTATATTTACAAATATTACGAGTATTAAATATAAATAAAATGTAAAAAAGGAATTTGCTAATGTGTATAAATAATGTTGCACAAGGAATACAAAGAAAATTGTTTAGCTACATCCTATAAGTTCACACAGAAAGCAACCATTTATTGCTTAATTCATTCCTAAAATTTATAAATCACGATCCCTTAAGATTATTATGCCTTGTAGCCTTAATTAAAGATGTCAATTATACTATATGTAAACCGTCAATTAAATATGAAACTAAAAATTTAATATCTCCAATATGGAGCTATACATGTTCAGTTACTTGAAAGACAGAAATTCTATCCAGTGCAAGCAAAATGTCTACCTCTCTATCTTTTGAACAAAATAAGTAGGAAAAATAAAACATTTGTTAAATAATATTAATCATAGTGTATAAGATTGAAAAGGGCATCTACATTTTCTTTTTCTGCTTCTTCTTGAGATATAACTTGCGTGACATCTTGATTTAAAAGAACTTGCTCTATGAGAATAGTTTCTGTGTTTACCTCTTCAGTAATATTTTCTCTCGATACTTCTTCCGTATTATTATTTTTCCCTTCATTTTTCTTTTGTTTCGTTCTTGGTCTGTCGTTATGAATTTGCATGTGGCGTCTTAAATCATACTTCCCTACAAAACGTGAAGAACAAATTTCACAACCTAAAGGTTTCCCAGTAGCATGACTCCACATGTGACGTCTTAATGCTGCGCTGAATGTAAATGCTACTCCGCAGACATTACAAATGTGAGGTTTTTCTCCTGTATGTATAAGACTATGATCTTTTAACGTAGCTCTCTGGTTAAATCTTTTCCCGCAAACTTCACATGTATAACTTCGAGGATTCGAATGAATTCTTAAATGATTTAATAAATTTCCTTGTTGTGAAAAACTTTTATTACAAATATCGCACTTAAACGGTTTTTCTCCTGTATGAACTCGCATATGAGTTTCAAGAGTACGATTATTCAAGAACCGCTTCCCGCAAATCGTGCATGGATATTTTGGTAAATGAAGACCTTGAGGATCCAAATGTGTAATTAAATGCCTTTTGTAATTACCTTTGTGGTTGAACAAGCGTGAACATTGACTACACGTATATGGTGCGCCATGTACGTGCGTTGCAATGTGATTTTCTAATTCTACTTTAGTTTTAAATCTTACACCACATTTTGGACAACGATGTCTTGGAAAATCTGTATGACAAACCATGTGTCGCTTTAAATACCTTTTTGAAGTGTATGCTTTATCACAAATAAAACAAATATACGGAAACTGTCCAGTGTGTTTTTTAACATGAGTCCTTAACTCTTTATGACTATTACAATCCATCTCACAAACGACACAAAAAAATGGACCACTACTTGGAACATGATTATCAATAGTATGAAGTAAAACGCCGGTAAGTTTCTCATAGTTCTGCAAACACAAAGTACACTGATATTCTATTGTGTTATTCTCAGTTTTTATTTCTTTGATTCTAGTTATCATATCATTTAAACTTCCTAAAATATTATCCTTAGGATCAATGAAATAATCTGAGTCAGAATCATTGGATTCTTTTGACTCCATGTTCTCCGTTGTTTTACAATCGAGTTGGACGTTGAGATTTATTTTATCAACCTGTTCTACTGATTCATCCGTTGATATCATTTGCCAAGCTTCGGTTTCAATGTTTAATGTTTTAGTATTCTTTGATTCCATATCATCAGATATGTATATTGCATCTAAAAATTTGTCATTTGTCTTAGATTCTTCAAAGTTATCCTTCAAAAATAATGTTTTAATATCAATATTTTCATCCTTTGATTTGCAAAGATGACCATGATACTCTGATTTAATGGACTCCATTTCTGTGTCTCCTACATATACTACTGTATAATTTAAATCTTGTGAATTGGAAGTATTACAGAATTGATCATCTAAGTCGTTTTTAATATTATATAATTTATCATGCTGAGAGTCATCTATGATATTATCTAAATGATCTTGAATCTTATCCATTTCATTGCTATGATTAAAATCCATTAACGATATTATTTCTAAGGATTGTTCGTCTTTACTCTTCTTTTCTGTAACATCCTTTCTTAATTCTTCGTTAATAGAGCTCGCATAATTATCAGAAATCATTTCAGAAGTTTCGAAGAAAACCTTTTTTTGCATTAATTCATCTTTTAAAATTATGCAGTCTTGTTCATTTACATTTTCCATTTCTTCCTATTATAATAGAAATAAAATAATTAAATATTTATTATACAAACGTATACAATTTTAATGTAACAAATTACTATTACATTTTCGAATTGTATATTAAGCATCTTCCTAAATTTTTCTTCTGTCTTTTGTACTTGTAATCTAAAATTATACGATGTAATTGTCCGATAAGCACATTTCGTGCAAAGCATTTGTGGTAATCCATCGTTCCTATCAACCTAAACCAATTTATTTTTCATTAATATTATTTTATCATTGATGAACAAATGTATATAATTTTATAAAACATTGAATATTATTTTTACAAATCATTGAATATATATATTTACATATACAGTAGGTGATCGGTTGATGAACATAATCCATTCAAAAATGATGTTTGCTATCCGAATTGTTTGTTAACTTATTATTGAAAAAAAACAACTAGAAATACAAAATATTACTTCTTCTTGTATTTTCTCTACGATGTGTTCATTATCTGTTTTGTTCGTAGTTCAACTTGTTCGTTACCGATTACCTATTGTATACATAGATACAAATAACTTTATAAATATTCATTTTTTCAGATTACAAATTATCAACTATATTTGCTTTATGATAATAAATAAATACCAATTTCATATAAAACCTCATATTAAATATGCGCAGATATATACATAATTTTATGCAGATCAATTGTTGAGGTTAATAAGTAGCCATTAATATTTCCTTTTTATGTAAAATGTTATCTCAACGATTCAAAATGATAAAAATAAATTGTATTAATTAAATTAACATTATAATCAGATTTTTTCTTTTTACTAACTCGAATTAAGGTAACTTCCTGAAGCTTTTCAGGCAAATTCTTGATACCAGTCGTGTCGTCACCATATATTGGTAAAAGTGCACAATTAATACCCATACAAGCACGACACATATTCCTGTAAGAAACTTCCAAGTCCATGGTTAAAATGTTCTTATTATTTTAAACAGACTCTCAAATAATTGATTATGCTCGTTGAAATATAAACATGTACATTTCACATTTCGCGGTACTGCCATTCGACGGTCTTTACTACTTACATCCGATGTAAGTAGTATAGTCATGGATTATGCATCTAATATAACGTATCTTACATAATACACCAGAAAAAATCGAGTGATTAATTTTTTGTACAAAAAAAATCTATCTTTTTTATTTTCAATATATAACATTTTTCATAAATATTAATTTTCTTCTTCTTGTTTTCCTTCTTTTTATTATAACATTTACGTCACCATAATGATTTATTTATTTCTTATATAGGACAAATTTAAAATAACGATACACAAGTAAACCAATGAAGACGTATTTGGAAGCTCGACCAATTAAACCATCGCATAATCATTGGTCAGTTAGAAATTTGTTCATTTTTCATTGGTCCATGGTAGTTAAGAGCGGAAAAGAATAATATGAATTTAGCATTATATTCCATGGATGTTTCTGGTTAGTCGTCAACGTGATAACTAGCGGTCGCCAGTTTCAAAGAACATGGCTGGTAGCAATGGTCGTAATTATTGAGCTAGCTGTACGATTTCTTTACACTTGTCAACAAAAATATTAATATTGAAGCAATTATTTAAGGAATAATACGTTATTAGTTAAAAGTAAGTATTATTAGATAATAATTATAACAATAGAATTAAGTAGAAATAGATTTATTTCAATAGTTCATCCAATTTTGTCAACATCGATGTAATAGTATCCGTTTCCTCTCTTCAGAGACGCTCTTATATGAAATTATAATAATTAATACGTTATTTATATTAGATAAATTGTTCACACGTGATTAATATTTTGCATGCCTAATTTGTACCGTTGATTAGTTGAAAAATTAATTTTTTTTTAACAATCTATAGACCTTGAGTCACTCCTCGTGTCCTCGTCAAATTGTTTCTATAATATTTCGTAGGATGATATATTAAATATATTAATTGTATTAAGATTTCAATATTTATCGATAAATATAATAATAACATATAAATCATACGATTATCTAATTTACACTGATATCGATTTAAGATTAGTAATACTTATAATTTTATATTTTTTTTTATAATACTTTTTCAAACACACGTTCGTCTAAAATATAAAGCTATTTTACACAAAAACAAATATCGTGATAATATTTTTGAATTTAATTGAGTTTATTAGAAAATACGCTGATTATATATCATTACCCTATATACCTACTTTTATTTTCTCATATTTCAGACTATTGTTATATCACTTATAATTACTGATATCTATTTCTCCTATTAATTGTACTTACGTTTTACCTATTAAAGTTAATATAATTTATATATATATTTATATATTTATATATATATTATATATATATTCATAGATTATTATTAATTATATCTAATATTCAAGAGTACTACATGTTTTATAAATATTTTATATTCTGTTTTAGGTATATAATATTATGGCAACTGCTATCCAGAAAAATAGCATGAAACCTTTAACGAATAGATCTTTAAATCATGTAGAAAATGTTGAAAATTTAAATAACAGTGATATATGTACAGAAAGTAAAGATAATGGACTCTTTAAAGAAGATATGCAATCATGTATGTCTGAATCCGATCAAGATACACCAGAGCTTGATATTGTTATAAATAATGTAGTATGTAGCTTTAGCGTAAGGTGTCATCTTAATTTAAGAGAAATTGCTCTGCATGGTTCAAACGTTGAATACAGAAGAGAAAATGGAGTAAGTAATTTTTATATTTTGAATATAACAGAAATAAAATTTTTATATTGAAACAAAATAATTCGATTACGATTTTAACCCTCTGAGTATTACGAATGCATATATACGTATTTAATAAAAGTTGATAGCATGGATTATTGATGCATATATGCATTCATTGATATAAATGCGAAGTATACAATGTCGGTTTCCCTATTAATGTTTTGAGTCTTATTGCACCAAAATTATGCTCAAAAATAATTATCTCATGTTATTTTATTGAGAGAATAATTATAAATTATAAACTCATATTAGCAGCTAAGTATATTATACCCAAGAAGTACTTTTTCCAAAAGTATTCAGCACTTAAACAGTTAATCCCTTGTACTATAATTTAATGTGACCCGTAAGAATTGCCAAGAGTAGGATCCATGTTTGTTGTGTTAGGGTCATTAAATGTATTACGAGTCTCATATGTTATAGTGTAAGGGATTAATATAAAAATAAATCGTAATGATCTCTTTTATTTTTTTAATATTAATCAAATGTTTAATACTAATCAGTTAAATCATTTAAAACTATTAGATGATCACAATGAAGTTGCGAAGACCATACACAACTGCTTCTATTTGGTCTTCGGGAAAAGTAACTTGTACTGGTGCAACTAGCGAACTAGAAGCAAAAATAGCAGCACGTCGATTTGCGCGTTCCCTTCAAAAACTTGGCTTTAAAGCACGGTTTAATAATTACAGAGTGGTTAATGTATTAGGTACATGCTGTATGCCATTTGCCATCAAAATAACATCGTTTTCTTTATATCATAAAGAAAATGCAGAGTAAGTCGATTTCTCCTCTAATTCAAATTTGCTTAAAACGTTGGAAGATTATAAGTTTGATATATTACAAAATGTGTCATATTTTAGTTATGAACCAGAATTACATCCTGGTGTGACATACAAATTGAAAGAACCAAAAGCAACATTAAAAATATTTGCTACCGGAAGTGTTACAGTAACAGGTAAATAATATTCCTTTCCTTATCCCAAACCAATATTCTGTATCATCATTTAACTTATGTACAATAATATTACAGCACCTAATGTTGCTGCTGTCCAAGCTGCAATAGAATATATCTATCCGCTAGTCTATGAGTTTCGCAAGGAACGTTCAGTAGAAGATAAGTTAGCATTGGAAACCAAGAAACGCAGACATGGTAAAAAGAGAAAACGAGAAGAGTTCCTACATAATACGGATTTAATATATGATCCTTTGTTTTCTCCTTCATCTTCTTCCATCGAAGAAGGAGCTGACAGTGATGCCAGTTGGAACTGAACTGTTTATATTATTATTTTTCTGTTAATTATAAAACAATTATGTGTATATTTCGTTCGATTAAGAACGATTATCAATTGCACTGGACAATTGCTGCTGCTAAGAGTGATGAAGTGATGCATATTTCATTTTCTTAGTGTCTGACAAGTGCGTGAGTGTCAAAGACAATAGTGTACATTAATGTGCACTTAAACTTGTAATTATCTTTGCACTTATCAATTTGACTGACTTATGTTTTTAAAGTAACATCCCTCATATTTTCATTCTATCATACAACAATATATTAAACATACATCTCTCCAAGGCATATACATAGGGCATGTGTCGTTCTTATGTATACACTATCATTCAGTTTTTTGAAAATAATATTTGGGATGTATTTAGTAATATTTTTGACAAGACTTAGTTTATATAAGGGATCACTTGATTGTATTTATGATTTTATGAATTATACAAATTCAAATTAGGTAACGGAAAAAAAAGTATACATATATACGTTCCGTTGATTCAAGTTGCATACTACAATGTTTGGGCTATAAAGACAAGTATCAACGTAATAAATGATTGGTGATACGTATATTTTTTTTTCTTTTACAATTTATTTTTTTTTTTTCTCTTTTTTTTTTCTTTTTTTAATTACACAAAAATTCTCGTCAGTTTTAGTTAATGAATGTATACTGTGCCAAAGATGGATGTTCAAAATTTAACATGATACAATTGAAACAACAAAACAAACGAAACTACAAATTAATTTTTCACCGCTGTAACATTTAGCTTTTTCATTAACATAGTCTGCTTTAATGGATATGATAGTTTTTTAATATAATAATCTATATTTTGCGATGTTTCCGGAAAGAATATATAATATCGTTGATTCATCAGACTGTATCAAGCAAAAATACTACATGTGTATATGTAGTATTATATATTAGTACATACTTAAATATATATATATATGTACATACTTACATACATATATATGTAACATATGTATATATTAAGTATGTAGTACATACTTAAATATATGTATATATTTAAGTTTGTATAATCAACATTAATAATAGCCCATTCTCGATCAAACACATGACAGATTTATTTAATACATTCAGATCAATCAGTTATCTACTATGTACTATCATTGCTATCGTTATATTCTATAATTATATAGCATATGAATATAGGTCAATGACATTCTCAGCAATGTTAACTTGCTAACACTTATGTGTTAATTATTTTGTATATGAAAATTAGAAAGTTATTATATTATTAGGCAGTATTAAGATAAGTTCATCGATAATTACGATAAGGACTATTAAACTTATGAAATATCACAAATAACTCTTCTTGGCAATAACGAATACTATCATTTGTGATTTCATAAGCGTCCAAATAGTATTTATGTGTATGTATACAGATATATATAAAAACAGAGAAAGAAAAAAAGAAAAAGAAAAATTCTTAGTTCTTACTAAAAAATACTCTCTAAAATTTTTAAAATTGTATGGTCAACATTTTAGTAGCAATGTACCAAAGTTACAAGAAATATCAAAAAAAAAAAAAAAATATATATATATATATATAAATGATAAGATACTTGAAATAAATGGCAACTGGAAGATCTGATAGTATAATGAATAAATAATAATTTCAAGGATAGGAGTAAAAAGTATTTAAAAAAAAATAATTAAAATAAAAAGTAAAAAATGTGGAATGTGTATATGTATAAGAAGTATATCAAAATAAACAAGTTTCTCTCTGTAGAGCAAATACTTCGTAAAATGCTGCTATTTTAGAATGTTTGAACGAATGTGGGCTGTTTTGCATTGATAATATTATGATATCAAAAAAATTTTCTTTTTTAATTCGAACATTTAAAGAAGAAATTGCCATTTACAATAAAAGAAACAAACTTAAAGGCTTAATATTCACTTGCTGCCTCATTTATTCTTGCTCATTAAGAAAAACAACATGTATTACGATTGTTGGTGTTAGCTAATGCACAGCATAAAGAAACAAATTATTGAAATGAAGTTTACAAAAAGTGCATATATATACGTATATATTATTTTTTAATCAAAAGCAATACATAATGTAAAATTTCTCATGAAAGTGATTGAAGAAAATTTACACTCTTGTAAATTTCATATACAAAACTACTAATTACATAACTTGCATATATATGATTTTTTTATAATATATATGAATATCATACAGTGTCAATATGGTATCTCTATTAATCGATCAATTTTTATATTGTTTATATAACGTTTATATTTTGAAAATGCAAGTACTTGGTTGAAGTTTTCACTATAACTTTTGTTTTTACAATTCTTTATTATTTGAAATCTTCATACGATCTAGTAAGTGCATTTGAAATATATTACATTGATAGATAGATATATATATATATATATTCGAAAAATTCAGAATACAAAAAAGTAAAGAATCTTATCATTTTTAAAATTTCTTTAATCGCAAACTAACAATACATATTATTTATTGAGAAATAATAAGACATAGGAAGTAATTATTAGATATAATTAGAACGATAATTATGAGTGATCCCCGTATAATATATAAAAATAACTATAAAGATTTTTTTTATGTTGTCATCTAGCTAGCACCGTCGACTTTTGACGATTATTTGGAACGATATTTAATCAAGTGTTTTGAAGAAGTTCATTTCATTTGTAATCATTATTGTTTTCATATACATTAATTTTATCCAAAGAAAATTTTTTATTTTAAATGCTCGAATCATCGAGTTAAAGTCACTGCCTATATTATACAAAAAAGTTTCCATAGAAGATGAGAAAATTTTAGACCACAATTGAGTATACGTAATATTTCTTTCCTTTACTTTTTTATTCGTAATATAAAATGTTTTATTATTATCTTACGGTTAAATAATATAACCCTTATATGAGCTATGTTCGCTAAATGTATATACAGTACATATTAAAAAAATAGGCAATGTGGCATATATTATTGACATGAATCGATAAGGAAAATTATATAGACACTATTATATATATATATATATACAAGTGATATATGTATAACTGTTGGTACAAGTAAGGGATGATTCCACATGAAAAACTAAATAAAAAATGTAGAATATAATTTGTTTATACAAGGCTTTGTTTTCGAAAAAAATCAGTTTGAAAATTATACTTAACTGAGCTTGTAAACCTTAAAAACTAAAAGCCTTATTTGATATGCATAAAAGTAAAACTAATGTAAGAGATGTCATTATAATGACAATATTTCTAAACATTAAGAAGCATAAAAATTAAAGTTTTTCGAAATATCTAAAAATGAAATATTGAAATTCGTCAAGCTAAAAAAAGTACACGCACACCCGGCAAATTTACAAACTATTTTCTCCAAAACAAATACTTATATGAACAAATTGTATTTTATATTCTTTTCTTAGTTTTTCGAATAGAATCATCTCCTGTTCGCTTATACAATTAGATATATAGGATGCCACTGTATATCTATGTGTATATATATTTTTCCTTAATATATATATATATATATTATAATAGTAATAATAATAATAATATAATAATAATAATAATAATAATAATAATATATATTACTAGACTTTAAAGTGCCAGGCTTTCTGTATGTCTTTGTTGCAAAAGCACAGCGCTGTTATCAATGTTATTATTATTATTATTCTTTTTTTTTTTATTTCAATGATTTTAATATAAAAAAGAAAAAACCCCGATTAATTTGTGCACAAAGTACATTAAATAGAATTTGTCTCTTTTATATTTTTTTCTTAATACAAGAGTTCCTTTTTTTAAAAAAAAAAAAGAAAAAGAAAACGCTCCGTTATTAAATACATAATCAATTATAAATATATTCGAGAAAAGAAAAAGAAAAAAAAACAATTTCGTTATAATCATAAATAGACCAAATGTACAAAATGAGACTGAACTGCTTCCACCGCATTTAATATTTTCCTATACAATTTAAGACACTGCGGAATTTATATAGTCTGGTCGAACCTTACTAAAGAACATACATATGCTGTGGATATATAGATAATAATATTTTATTTATATTATTCACTACAGACGATATTTAATATTTGCTATTTCTTTTCTTTCTGGAGGTAATTTTTTTTTTTAAGTATTTCGACTTTTTACATAATCCAATTTTCGTCCTAACTAAATTATAATTTCAAATTTCTTCACGTGAGATTATTTCAGACAGATTTTTTATAGACAGGATTGTATACGGTAACCAGGACGGATTATAACTTCATTCTTTGTACAGATAAAAACAAACTAAAATTTCTAGAAGAAAATGTTGCATCATTTAACAAGTTGCTTGCTTGATCGTCCAGTAAGCGCAAGTTTTTACAGAAACGCAAATGCTAATTATTTATCAACCGTGTTTTTTCCATCCGTGAAAGAAATCAGTTATAATCCAGTCGATTTTAAGAACAAAAATAAATATAAAATTATACCGAATGCAACCTGTGTATACGGGTGTTCTTTTTGTTTTTATTATTTAATTCTTTCTTTCTTTCTTGCAAAAATCAAAGTCGTAAAAAGACAACGGAAATACGTCGGTGCGCAATTGACTGCAATATTAAATATTATACTTCTTAAAAAGAAGACAAATTATGACACACATCCGGAATAGTTTGAAAAACAAAAAAAAAGGCTTGATACATCATATTATTCGCACAATATAAAATATTAAAACGAAAAAAAAATATATATATTATATATATATAAATAAAAAAAAGAAAAAGATAAATAAATAAAACTATTAAAGGTATGCTTGCTTGATTTTCGTAGATTATTATCTCGTTACAGCGATATGTGATATTATATCAATATATTTAATTAACACGAATTCTGTAATTATCGCATATACACCTCTTTATATATAGCAATAAACAATAATGATATCATAGAGAAATTATTCAAGATTGTACATGTGAAACAAAGAATCGTTTAATGCAACGATTGTACTCGTTATACGGATGTGAAATAGCTTATAATAACAAAAATAAAAATCGTATATTATCACATTAATCTTTTCCGACATTTTTCTTTTTCTTTTTTAATTATATCCTTGCTATAAAACAGAAAAAAAGAAACAAAAGAACAGAACAAAACTACAATAAAAGAATAAGAATAAATTATTTCTCGACAGTTATAAATACAAATGTTAATACTATAACGATTTTTGATATTTTTATTCTATGTGGACATCTAAATTATGTATAAATATTAATTTACATGAAATATACAGTTAGTGTCTCTTAAAATCGTACACCATTATGCTCACTAGATTTTTGCATGAAAACTATTGATATAGCTTGTTTGAGATGAAGAACATTTAAAAACAAATTCATTAATATACCTTAATTACATATTTAATGAGTTTAACACTTGAAAGCCTTATTTATAACAAGTGAATTAAACAAATACGAAAATAATATATAACAAATGCTTGTATCTTAAAATCGTACATATTGATATTACTGTAGAAACAGGGGAAATATTTGATTTTTTAATTTAAATAATCCTAAAAATTAGTAAAGTACGTTAAACCGTTCGATATATTTCTCTTCGAAATCCCCCGTTAGATTGGCTCGTTGTCCTCTATGAAATGGATTTAAAGTTTCTTTTATTTATTTTTGTTTATATGACTTTACAAAAGAGAAAATTCTATTTATTACGAATATTATTCCCATTATATACATGCGCATCTTTCGGAAAGTCATATAAACAACATTTAATAAAAGTACTTTCACAGGGGACAAACGATTCAGCCTATTGTTTGATTTCAAAGAGGATGGTCCACCGAACATATACTCCGTGTTTTAGACCACAATATACAGTTTCTTCGATTAATTAACAATTATTTTAATATTTTAATAAACTCAACGTATATATAGAATCATTTAAACACACATACGTTGGATTAAATACTACATACCTATTCACATATTTTCAATATTAAATAATTTCGATTTGATATTCTATTTGACGAAAATTTTACCATCGGAGTCATCACTGTACAGGAACGTTAAAACAATCACAAAAATTAGTAAAGTACAATACTATATTAAATATACCTTAAATGATTGGTAATTAATCGAAGGAACTGTATATTGTGTTCTAAAACACGAAGTATATGTTCGGCACACCATCCTCTTAAAAATCAAACAATAGACTGAATCGTTTGTCCCCTGTGAAAGTATTTTTATTAAATGTTGTCTATATGACTTTCCATAAATGAAAATTTGATTGATTTCGAGTATTATGTATGTCATACATATGCAACCTCTTCGGAAAATCATATAAACAACATTGAATAAAAGAATTTTGATAGCGGATAAAAAAATCAGTCTAACTGTGGATTTCAAAGAGGACGGTGCTCTGAACATATATTCCGTGCTTTTAAACAACAATACACATTTCCTTCGATTAATTAATAATTATTTTAATGCACTAATGCACTTTATTTTTATTACAGTAAAGTTTTACCCTCGAAGTCATCACTGCGCAGAAGCGTTAAAATAATTACATAAAAATGATAAAAATCCTAAAATCAGAGCGTTTTATAATTTTGAATTTTATTTATTAGGTGTATTATTCCTTTTCTATACATGCGCAACGTTCGGAAGGGCACATAAACAACATTTAATAAAAGAACTTTGATAAAGAACAAATGGTGCCAGTCTAACGGGGGATTTCGAAGAGGACAGTGCACCGAATATATACTCTGTGTTTTTAAACAACAATATACATTTCTTTCGATTATTTGACAATCATTTAAGGTATATCGAACACTTTAATTTACTCTAGTAATATTTTGGATTCAACTTTTATTTTTTTTTCACGACTTTACAATACTTTACGTTACGATTTATAATAATCATATAATCAAACTATTTTCTTTTTTCTTTATTATTTGACTTATTCGATTCGACGGAAAATATACTATCCTAATTATTTGAATTTGAATTACGAAAAGAGAGAGTGGCATGCCATCTATGATTTCATTTCGTAAATATAAATCCAATGATAACGAGGATGGCAAATGAAATTCAACAGTAACGCTATAGCGTCGATATTTGTAACTAACCAATTCTTTATCATAGATATTCGTTCTTATTTAATTGTGTTTCATGTTAAATGCTTATGCGTCTGTGCAAGGTTTTGATATTAGGTTGAAAAATTGGAGCGCGGGTTCTTATAAGAATGGAAAACGATTTAGAGGATGCTAAGTTAAGTTCTAAGTTTTTAAAGACATTAAAAGGTAAGCGAATGATATATCAGCTGAAAAAAGATGTGAAATTTTGATTTGGATAATAAAAATATATCACGAGAGAGAAATGTTTTTTAACAAAATCTTGTGTATAAATTAACATAACATCCAGTCTTATCTGAAAATAAGCAATATAATTACGAATATAAATATAACATATTTGATATGATGTATTAATTAAAATTACAATAGATCATTAATTTTCATACATGATTCGTATTTTATAACAAAATATAAATAATCTTTTAAAATCTTAAGACAAGTAATACGCATATAAGAATATATACATCCTAGAATTATTTTAGCAAAAGGAAAATCTTTTAATGGATTCGATATCGGTATCAAAGCATTACAACATAGAGCTGTAACCGAAGGATTACCAGATGAAGAAATTGATCAACTGATATATATTATCACGCACATTAACTTTGGTTTGTATATTAAGAGTTATAGTTATATTTATATATTTATATATATATATTAAATATTCTCCATATGTTTATTATCATACATTATTTATTTATTATTATATTTATTTCTTTTAGGTGCAGTAAAAAACATTTTATTAATCAAATGTCTAGTACCAATATATAAAATATCGAATAATTCACTGAAGCTTATGATAACATGGCTTTTATCGTCATTGAAGGACTTACAAATCACAGTAGCAATGATAACTATACAATGGATCATAGGTTTGCTGAAATATAAATTAATATTTATTGAATTAAAAGTTTACGATATAATCAGTATACTTTTTCAGGTTTGTGGGAATATTGTCTTGCGGATAAAAAAATCATTAGCATGTTCTACGAAGTATTTTTCTATTGGTTGATGAAGAAAGAAAAATTGGTATTGTTATAGTTTTTATTATTTAACAATAATCATTTATATTTGATAAATTATTCTCTTATAAATACATTATGCTTATAAGATGTATTTTATTAAAGGAGAAGCATTTAGCACAAGTTATATACACGATAACAAAACCAGAAGATGTAACACGTAGAAATATTTGCAGAATATTATCTATACATAAGAAACGGGTAGTTCGAAAAAAATATACTAATGCTCTACTTTCGTATGTATTTAGATTTAGAATCGTCATCTATGATAAAAGAATGAACAATTTAACAAGAATAAATTTTTACCTTTTTTTTTACAGCTTGTTTAAAACTTATAAGCCTGAATTAGTGCCAGAAAAGATTGAAACAATGAATATAGAAAGTATTTGGAAACCAATACCAGAAGTATTACGAGTAGCATTAAAAGACGCTAAAAATCGTTTAGAAATACAACAAAGCATCGATAAAATACAAGAACATTATATGTGGAATATTTCCAAAGTATATCGTTGTTTTTCAATTCTATAATATAACTTTGACTATATGTTTCTATATATACATATATATTTTTGTTAAGGTTTCTAAGAAGAAAAAAAAGTTACTTTTACCGTCTGTTGGATATTTTCATATTGGTTCAAGTATCTTTAAAGATAAAGATGCTAAATCTATTTTTGACATATATACGTAAGTTACACTTGTATATATATAATTTAAAGTTTTAATGATTTATTAATATTATTAATATTACAGCATTGATTTTTTTAATTAGAACAACACACACATTTCATTTAAAAAATCTTAATAATTTATTAATATTATAGCATTTATGACTTAGGACGACATCACTTCAGTATTGAACTACCTTGTAACGCAATATCTTTGTTAGTTAATACAGCTGGTTATCATCTTCTCACATATGCTGATTTTAACTTTCAAATTAGATTTTCCTACAATCTTTATAATACACTTAGAAGAGGTATGAAATATGTATGTACATAAGTATTATATATTGGATTGAATTTGTTAAAAATGTAATATTGTTACAGCATTTATATTAGAAAGAGGTAACTTTTCTGAAACAGAAATGGAAACATTACTTGATATGACTGTTCAATTTTGTAAATACATGCAACAAGGTATACTTGTTGTTAATCTTTTTATCGAAGAATATTTGTATTTAAATAGTAGAGAACATTTTAGTAAAATATTAGAAATTTTACAATGGATGACAATCATATCTATAACTGGTAATGTATGATTTGTATAAAATTATTTTTTAATACTATTCTTTCTTCTTTTAAAAAACATCAGCAATACTAATTAATTTATATCTCATTTTTATTACAGAAGAACAACAAGCAATATTATCATATATAGAAAATATGTTTTATGAATCATCAATTACCGACAAATGCAAAATTATCGAAACCTTAAGGATTCTTATCACTAATATTGTACGTACAAATTTAACAAATATTATATACAAATAATCGATTATTAAATATATAATAAATAAAAAACATATTTGTTTTAGTTCGTTAATGAAGGATTCAACGAATGTAGTCAAAAAGTACCAGCACCGTTTTTAAGACAAAAACCAATGAGTAAAATAACTGATACCATACCTATTCTTATCAATTTTTCAAAAAATCTTATAGTATCTGGTTTAAATGCACACTCATACGATATTTTACTTCTATCCGAAAGTCTTAGATTTTACGAAGTGGTACGTAACGCATTAAATACATATTATTTTAAAATTATCATAATTACATTTATTTATTTTTTAATCAGATTTTTGAATTAGAATCTCGTAGTAATAACATATCATTATGGGCTGTAACTCCTGTTGCTGTAACTTATGGAGCATTTGTATCTAGCAATTGTGCAATCGTCAGCAGAATTTGTTCCTTGATATTAAAGTAATTATTATATTAATGAAATATAAATACTCGTTTATAAGAAAATATATTACTTTAATTATTATTTTTATAGATATTTGAAGAGGTGTGAAGCATTAAGAGAACAAAATACAAAATCATTTTATAAAAATATTGAGACGATATCTGCTTATGTTACAGATATAGCAGGAGCTTTATGGTATGATAAGGTGCGTAATATTTAGAAAATAGATAAATACATATTATTTAATATTATGAATACATAATTTAATAAAAATTACTCATATAGGCTTTTAACAGCGAAGATCATTATCTTTGTAATAGACCCACTATAGATGATTTTGGAAAATTCGATTTCCATACTCAATTAAATATTAGTAATCATTATGCCATCCTTCCTTATAAATATATCATCCCCAAAGAGCTTCTTAATAGCTTCGAAATAATAACTAAAGAGGTAACAATAATTCTTAGATTTTTGTTTTTTATTTTATGTTTTTGTATTTGTTCATTACGATATTAAATATCTTTTCTAGGATGCTATTAATCTTGCAGGAGAGTACTATCCTGCGATAAAAAAATTTTTAACAAAGGTAATATCAGATTTACAAGAATAAAACTAAATAATTTAATATAGTTTATAAAAAATATATTTTGTATATTTATATAAAAAATTAAAAAAAATTTGGTTCAATCGTTTATAAAACATGTTTATATAAAATTATTTTATCTGTGACAACGTATATTGCAATGTACAATCAATAAATTACATTAGCCAAAGGCAAATATTGTCGAGCCGAATTTATATTTATTGTTTTCATTATTTTATATAAAGAATTATATTATAATCTTCTATTCTTCAGTTCTAATTGTAAATTTTAATAATCAGCATTTAAATTAATAAAATCGCATAGCGGGAATTCTATTGTTCTCCTGTTGCACTTTTAGTTCAAATTTTGTCCATACTTGTCGCTAATGTCGCACATGCTTCAAATGAAAAATTGTTAACAACATTAATAAAAATTAATTTATCTGGAATTAACAGTTTAATTGATTATATAAAAATATAGCAATAAAGAGTAGAATATATATTCTCGTTCATGCAATTAAGAATTAGATTAAAATTTAATGAAAAAGTAACAGTTTTTCTTACATCTTGCTTAACCAGTAAAGAATTACTTAATTTGTTTAAAAACTTTTTTCTAAACTATTATTTATGAAATTCTTGAATAGAAATTAGTACGATTCTAAGCTTAGCGTTTATATAAAAATCGTCTTGAGTAAAAACTATAACGTCTTAAGATAATCGTCACGTCGAATAAGATAATCTTTACTAAAATCATCTTAATATCATTTTAAGAGCAAATTTAAAGCCTCCACCGAAAGTAAAATATGGCGGTATCTCTAGCAAGCATGTAGTTATGAAAACATAACCTCTTTTACCGAGTTAAATATATTTTTATTTGTATTTTATAAAAGATAAAACATAAAGAATTGAAAATGCCGACAGATCATAAACGAATTAATGGTCCAGAAATATCTGTATCATATAATATTTATTCTAATTCTAATAGCGAAGAAAAATATACAGAAAGTAATATTTCTATAAGGAAGGATGGTCGTGCGCATAACAAACGGAGGGAAATATGTAAGTTTAAATATAAAACAAAATATTATCTTGTATACAATAAAAATTTATTAATTTTACAAGTATGATCTACTCTAATTAATATTTAAATTGTATTATCTTTAACAGTTTTAAAAACAGGAATAATTAGTCAAGCAAAAGGTTCTGCATATATTGAAATGGGTGATACTAAAGTTGTATGCTCTGTCTATGATCCCAGAGAAATTCATAATAGGAATGAATATAGTACGCACGGTGAACTGTTTTGTGAATTCAAGTTTGCGCCGTTCTCTTGTAAAAAAAGAAAAATACATCAACAAGATGCGGAGGAGAAAGAATATAGTTTGATTCTTAAAAGGGCTTTGGAACCAGCAGTTTGTTTGGTAATCATATGTTTATTTATTCTTAGAAAAAAGATACTTTCTTTTTTTATTTTGTATGATAAGCCCTACGCTTAATATTTATCTCTATATTTTTTCAGCACGAGTTTCCTAACTTTCAAGTAGACGTTTATACAACAGTTTTAGATAACGATGGTTCATCCTTAGCAGCTGCTATAACTGTAGCTAGTGTAGCACTAGCTAACGCAGGCGTTCCTATGTTTGGTTTGGTTACCGCATCTTCCATGGTAAATTTATTTACAGTTTACTTTAATATTACTTTGCATCTTGAAATCGTACTTATCATATAATCTTAATAATTATATATAATTCTACGTTAGGATCTCAGTCTTTAAAAGATCTTTAATACAAGCACACAAAACTTTATCTAACGACAAGATATTAAATGACATTATTTTAATAGGCTATCTATGATAATCTACTGCTTCTTGATCCAACGGATAGTGAAGAGTTATATTGTAGCAAAAATTCCTCAACTTCTGGAAATCATGGCATTATAATGCAAGCGTTTCTTCCCCAACTTGAACAAATTTCAGAACTTTTCTTGATTGGAAATTTAAATATGGAAAATGTTATTAATGCTATAGAAGTTATAAAACAAGCTAATAAAGATATATATCCACTGTTACAACAATGCCTCGTCAGATCAGTTTTCAAAGTAATAAAAGAAACGAAGTATAAGGAAAATGAAGCAAAAGAAATAAAACAATTAGATTAAAAAATCAAATAATTAAATCTATTTTAAACGTAGGCTTTTATTTTTAAGTAAAGATTATTTTGTAATAATAATAAAAACAATTATAGAAAAAAAATATAATAATACAGCGATCATCCCCACTGAATCAATTTATTTTATCTTTACATTTATATAGTATATAATTACTAATAATTTCCCATTATGTGTCTGTTTTTATTCTATTTATATAACACCCAGAAGGCTTATCTTTGACATTATTAGTTTAGTTTTTGTTTTTGTTATAGGTATCCCATTTATTTTCTATCTTACTAAATAGTGCACTAAAAAAAGTGTAATTTAAAATATAAAATATAATATATATAAACACACATTATCTAATCACATTTGCATCTCTCTCTAACAGGAGTACATTTTAGAGGCCGTCATAAGAAATTCAGGCCATAAAAGTGCATTTATATATATTTTAAGAATTTCGTTAACAGATCTTAGTTTTCTTTGAGTATAATCGTGCCACTACACATTATCGTTCTTTATAATATATATATGTATATACCGTTAAAACCTGAATGTTAAAATATAAATAAATTGTGTAAAATAATTAATCACATTATAGAACAAGCTGTCATAAAAATAGAAGATCTTTTAAAAAGACATTGTCTTTCTGTTATATATATATAGATGTGTGTATATAGTTATACTTTATAGTACTGTTAATATTTGACGTAGTTCTTTATACAATATCAATTTGCTTCATTTACAGTGTTCCTTCTAATAAAACATCTTTGCTAAAAGTAATTTATTTATTTATATTTAATATAGAAATATTTTAATGTGTAAATTTTCTTTTTGTGTCACCGATAATGCTATAATTATAAAAAAGCTCTTGAAACACTAATGTATTATCTACCTTTATTGCTGCCATACTCTTTTTTCATTAATTAATCTCTACTATGACTAGCATTTATGTATAGTTCTTCATAAGTACTTTAAACAAATATAGGTATTTAAAAAAGTAATAGGCATGCTACTTAAATACATATACATCGTGTATCACTAGGATTACACAAAGATCATTTGTTATCACCAATTGTTACATGATCAGGAAATACTATCCTGAAAAAATAAATGTAATTAAATAAACATTAGTATTGTAAATTTATACAGGATGTCCTATAATTAGTAATACAAGTATACAGGGAATGATTCTACATGAGAAACTATTAGGGCTTTGTTTTGAACAAAAAAAAATAAGTTTGAAAATTTCTTGAGTATGCATGCACCCCCTTAACTCTCTTATATCACCAGTTACATAATACTCTGGATATTATTACAAATTATAATAGTAATAACTTTTTAATAGTATTTTTATATTATTGGAAATATTTGAAATACTTACTTTGTTATAACAAAAGAGTCGTTTATATGAACTTCGTTAAGTTTCAAAGATCCAATTACTCTAAATGAGTATGCCCATTTTCTAATTTATTTGACACTTTCTTATTATTATCTTCATATTTTCTCCTTGGTAATGCAACTTCAAGAGATGATTTAACTTTAGTTAAGGGACATTTAGTCAACAGGTAATCGTACAAATAGCATAATAATTTAGACAAAAGAGGGCACAATAATCCCTGATGCATAAATGCACCCATTCTATAGTTTTGTCCCTCAAATGGATCTAAGACTGCTGAACATAACATATGGCTGAGATTCACTTGTGTGGGCTGTATAAAACATTTAAAAACACACTATTAATGACGATAATAATTATGTATAAAGCATAAATTATACAAATAAAATAGTATATATCATACCAAAGCAATAAGTTGCAAAATCCAGAAATGGTACGCCAAATTAAAACCATAACTTAAAATCGACCAGTTCAAATCCGACAAAGGTTCAATGTTGTATACTCCTGTAAAAAAAGAAAGGAAAAGAAAACGTTATATGTAAACAAATCTATTAAAAAATAAAATGATAATGTATGATGAGGAATTTTGTTAGCCGTTACCTCCAATTCTTAATAAGTAATATGGTATTACTAACATTAAACCATGTTGAATATAATATACCGCTTTATCTGGAAATATCTAAAAGATTAATTTACATTTTTTTATATTTTGATTTTTCTTTCATTTAAAAAATTAAATATTAATAATTATTATTATTATTTACTCTTCGAGATTCTGTTTCCGGGAATAAAAATGCCAGCACGGGACCATTCATAAGATTGAGATGTATTCGAAAAATACTAGTTACCATAGGGCTTGGTTCAGCTGCTAGTAGATACAACTACGTAAACAAAAAATATACAAGATAAATAAATAAAAAAAAATATTCAAGTAAAAAATGAAACAATGTAAAATAAAATAAAAATATTTACCTGTATAGCAGTGGTAATGTGGCAAGGATTTAACAAATAAATGATGGTACGACTTGTAAATTTGAAACCGATTTCTACACCCAGAACCATAGACATAATAATTAATAAAACTTTTTTACCGAATCTATCTTGATTAACATATGGTAATCTTTTTGGTAATGTTATTTTCTTAAAACCCCACACCCAAAATGATATAATGAATATAGATACAAAAGCTGTTTCAATTAATTTTCTGTTTGTACTTAAGTAATATGCACATTCTGGACCAACATTCCTTGGTATTGAACTGTTAACACCATCATAAGCCCACTCAAACATTATTAATAATAATTAATTTCTTGTAAATTTATAAGATTAAACGATTATTTTTTTTTTCTTTTTTTTTTAGTCATACAGTTATGACTATCACAGTATTAAGTATATATATATGTATGTATTTGTATATATCTATGTTTGTGTATGTATAACGTGTGTATATTATATATGGCTTTATGTTGACACACACACTGAAAAGTTTTAATAAAATTATTTTAAAACATTGCACACAGCTACGTTCTGCGATACAATATTGTACAACTACTTAAAATTGAGCCCATATTTGTACTATATTTCATATCAGAAGTTGAACATTTTAACTTGTTACATACATTAGTCGGTATACCATTAAATCTATCTCATTAACTTGTGATATAAGAGTATCTACTGAATGCAAAAAAAAAATCTGTATAAAGAGTTCTAGAAATAGCACCTCTACCATCAACGGGTAGCTAACAATCAAGGAAGCTTAACTTCTGCAGAAGATAAAACATTCCATACCACAGATGATAGTCTCAATTTCATGATGTCGCTAGTAGCAGTTGTTTACTTTAAAGCTCCAATAAATGATAGTTTAACATCATTTTTATTAATAATATTATCTTAAAATCTCTCTCTCTCTCTCTCTCTCTCTCTCTCTCTCTCTCTCTCTCTCTCTCTTAGATGAATAATTTAACATAGTTCATTTATTTCTTTAAATAAATTTTTCTCTTTACATTAAATTTTATTTATAACATACATACAACATTATTTGCAATTATTGATGTAAAATAGTATTTATAATAATCGTAGATAAAAATTGTAATAATAGTTATACATAGATTAGTTAATTACTCTGTGATTTTTTTAAATAATTTTACAGTACTAATTTTTATTAATTTGAAATTTCGCGCAGCTCTTGACGTAATGACGTATGCATTCTTGGCGATCGCTCATTGGTTGACTTCATATTGCATCATATATATATATATTTATGAAATCGTTGACAAGGTTACGTATGAATTGATTCTAGCATAACAGATACTCTTGAGTACGTAGCAATTTAATGTGAAATATTTGAATAATTTTAAATAAAAATGTCAATGCACGCAACACCGATACTCTATTTAAACATGGGTGGAGAAATGCTGTATGTTTTACAACAAAGACTGAAAGCTCAAAAAATCGACATCGACAAAACAGTGCAAGGCCAGTCCAGTAACAGAAATATTCGAAAAAGATCGTACGCACTGTTCCTATCATCCTTTATATGAAATTCAATATTCATAACAAATTCACTTAAGCACTTGCTTTTTTGCATTATTTTATATTATTGATTTAATTGACTGATTTCTTGAACTTTTTTCTTTCTTCTAACATTACAGTATTAAACGATGTAACTGCTGCTTTGCTCAATGTCACAGTACTTTCATCGGTCTTCAAAAAAGGCCCTGTTATTGCTGTTGCTTCATTGCGTCCTACTTTAGAATGCGCTGCTTTATCCTCTATCATGAAATTGGATAATAGTAGCATGGATAAATTGTTTGATTTAATGACGATGATGGTCAAATATCAATTGACTGTAGTTACTGGTCCTAGAGAAGTTATTCTTCTTACGTTAAATCATATCGATGCAATGCGCGATATGGTTAGCAATCCAACTGGACAAGAATGCGTCACGTTGGTCCATCAAATGGTTATCGATGTAAGCAAACCTTTTTTCCAATTTATCTATATATAATAAAACACATTAGAACTTAATGTTTAATTGAAATTTTTTAAATATTTGTATTACAGTTTTATAGCGATTTAACTTTCGATGAAGTATGGAGAACAAGATACGATTGTCTTCAAGAATTAGAACCATATCGTGTTAGGGTTTCTATTCTTTTGAGACTTGGTCTACAAAATGAAGATACTAGTTTTAATTTAACTTCACAAAAGTACGATGAAAAGTACGAAGAAAATAGACATATATTAGGCAATCAAAAAATAAAAGATGTAGACCCCAATAAGAATTGCGGAGGTTCATTCCAACTTTTTAGCGACCGTGAAACATTATTAGGAAGAAATATGTAAGCATATTAATATTTTAATTTTATTTAAGACCACAAATTCTAAATAACATTTATTATTTGTAGATACTCTTCTACATATGGAATGATAGAAAAATTAAGACCATTGCAATACGATTCGAATTTCCTAAAAGACTGTGGCACCAAAGCAGAGCTTGAAATGTTGGCTACTCAATTAGGAACAGAAGAAACTTACGAAAGACCTTTTACTTTGAATTTATTTTCTAATGAAGAAGATACTTCAAATAATAAAAATAAGTGTAATATTGATAAGAGTAACTTTGAGAAAAAAGAACAAGAAGTTGAAAAAACAAAGATTAACGAAGACTACAAAAATAAGCTTGATAACGTTTATGCAGATTTTCATGAAAATGAATTGGAGAAAACAGCACACAGTATGGATCTACTTGATTTACTGGATGAGATCGAATAACTGGCTAATTTATCAAAATACTATCCAACTAAATAATTCCTACATATTTCTTTTCAGTGCACTTAACAGATAAATATATATATACAATTTGATTAGCACCTCATTTAATAATATAATATTTTTAACTCTAAAAGACCATCATACAATATCGTATAATATTAAATATATTAAATGCACAAATAATGCTTTTTTATAAACTATCATAATTAAGTTTAACTCTTAGTCATATCCAAAATGTATTTAACTCCAGTTTTGCCACTCATATTAAGTGCATTAGTAATAGCTTCTTGATATTGAGAGAAAGGCACAAGTTTGTGCGGCGGAGCTTGTAATTTTTTATCTTTAAAGAAAGCTAATAATTCATCATACATATCTAATCGTTCTTTTGATTCCATATTTGCCTTGGTCCATGCAGTCATCCAAAATCCTTGTAGAATTATGTTCTATGATCATATATAAAAGAATTAATAAGCTTGTGGAAACAAAAATATAATTTCATTTAAATAATTTAGATGTTAAATCAAGTATTACTTTAAAAATAAAAGCTGAAGGTGGAATGGTCACTGGTTCTCTCGACATACCACCATACGTAACCATTATACCTCCATGCGCAAGGTGTCTCATAATATCTGTAGCACTTTGACCCGAAATACAGTTAAGTGCTAATTTAGGGTGAGGTAATTTTTTATTCTTAAAAATTTGAGTCGTTCTAATTTCACTTTCAGTTAATACTTCATCCGCTCCCATAGATGTTAACAGATTCTAAATAATAAGTAATGACATTAATAATCAAATAACATCTAAGAGATGTTTCTTAATACCTTTAATTCTTGTAAATTTGGTCTGTCTCTAACAACATTAACAGATCGATAATTCCAGATTTTACACAATTGTATAACCAGTTGTCCTACTGCTGAATTACCTCCATTTTGTATAACGGTATCTCCATGTTTTAAACATACAAAATCTTTAAGCATTCTATATGCAGTACATGGATTAACGTTCATCATACTAGCTTCCACAATTCCAACTTCTTTAGGAATCTAAAATTTGAACATGGTTTTTATTATATAACAATCTACTAAATAAAAATAATTTTAATGAAACTAATAAAACAACCTTTAACAAATCTTTCGACTCATAAATGGCATCCGTTCTCCATGTTCCCAAATTAGAATAGTTGGGAATAACCATATCCCCAACACATAAATTAGTTACTTTAGAACCAACATCTATTATCTCTCCTACACCTTCATTTCCTGGAACAGCTGGTAATGAAGGTTTACTTGGATATTTACCTTGAATAGTATTAATGTCGGCTGGATTGACAGGTGCCAACAACCACTTGACTGCAACCTTTACAGAATATTTATATTAATATATATATTAAAGTTATAAAATAGCAATCAAAATTATGACAACATGAGTATTTATTTAAATATACCTGACATCCATCTGGTTTATTTATTGTGGTATTAGCGACTTGTAATACATCTACCGGATCACCATATTCTTTATAGAGCAATGATTTTGCTGTATCAGTTATGGCGATACCACTCATATTTCGAATTTGTATTAATTTTGTTGACTGCGAAACTGATGATAGGAAGTATCGTACAAATAAAACCATTGTATCTTTTTTTCTTGACAACTTTAAACGTAATTTTCCTTTATTTTCTTCAAATATTTATTTATATCCTTTATTTTCTACCTGCATAATAACAATAACAATACTTTTACTTTTAATGTTGAGGTTATAAAATAAAGTTACATATATATTTTGAAATATTAAATGATTATAAAATCGTTTAGATATTTATTATATAACACGTTACTATTGAGGTAAATCACTATTATCCTACTTCATTCACCATTTTCTAATGTTTTTATCTTCTTGAATTTGAAATATGTAATTACTTACATACGTCACCACTAACGCATACCAATCATTATAAACCTATAGATTTAGAGGGAAATATTGAAAAAACGCGTAATTAATTATTCATCTATTAATAGATATAATTAAACAAATTTTATTGTACACAAATTTTGCACTCTAAATTCAACTTTTGGCAAATAAAATTTTATTGCAGTTCTAAGAATTCATATAAAGTATTATCTTTATTTACAAAAAAAGAAACAAAAATGTTTTAATTATGAAAAAAATTGTTTATTTGGTTAAATATATATAATATTGTATACATTTATAATACAATCATTGTATAATATTACATAATATACATTTGTACACATAATCATAATAATGCTTTTTTAACATGATTCTTTCATGATTATGTTTTAATCATACTATGTTTTCATGGACGATCAAATAATATTAACTTCATGCATAGGTTCTAATGTTATAAATCTTTCAAATCCTAATCTTGACAAATCTAATGTGCAAAATCGAGAATCTAAAATAAGTTCTGATATTGCTCGTCCTACTGCAGGTGCTTGCTGTATTCCATGACCGCTAAAACCAGTAGCTATAAACATATTTTTATACAAAGGATGACGACCAATTACGCCGTTCTGATCAAATGTATTGTATTCATAATATCCTGCCCAGGAAGATTTCACCTAAAAGTAATAGAAAATATTTCATAAAATCAACTACATTGATATTTCATTATGATTTGGTTTATAGTTAAACAAAATTTTTAATTTAACCTTCAGATTTTCAAAACTTTTGACTCTATTAGCAAGAACGGGCCAAACACTAGATTCAAAAAAGTTATGATCTACATCCAAATTATTTGTATCAGGTTCTTTATCAGCTTGCGGTTGTTGACCACAAATATAAGAATTGGCTAAACCGTCTCTCCTAAAAATGAAAATGATCGTTAAAGTTACGTTCTTATAATAATATGTATTTCATATTTATGAGATTATATTACCTAAAATAAGTATTAGTGGGATCTACTGTAAGCGGAGTATTTAAACCAGGTCCATCCGGACAATGGAAACAGTAGACATACCTTTTCCTAAAGAAAAGAATATAAGAACTGTAAATACAATATTTTCAAAAATATTTCTATAATATAGCGTACCTTCGTTCTACAGGTAAGGGAACACTTAAAATTCCTTCACCAAGCCCAATCTCTGCCTTTTCTGCTATTTCTCGACTAGATGCACCAGCTGCAATGACTACAGCTGCAAATTTTATAGTTTCAATAATACCATTTGGCAATTCAACCTACAAAGTGTTTTACATTATAAAAAAGTTTATTGCAATGAGTTTATTTAAAAAATGTTTAATTTGTTATAAACTCACTTTAACTTTTTTTATACTTTTACATGTTTTGGAGTCATCGCCAGATGAAAGCAAATATTCGTCAAATTCAAAACCTATAGCTTTCGCAGTAAGATACTCTACACCTAAAGACATTGCTTTTGTCTTGAAAGCACAGAGAAGTGACCAAGGATCAAACCATCCTTCTTTTTCCAGTCCAAAACATCCAACTGAAATACCTTCTGTATTTAACCATGGGAACTTTTCTTTCAATTTATTTGAAGAAAGAATGATATTTTTTGCACCCAGGGCATTTTGTATTTTCGAATTTTCTATTAATTGTTCAGCACTCAATTCAGTGGCTAACATTAAATAGCCATAAGGTTGAAATTGAACGTCCACAGGAGACTCTCCTTGAATGGCCAAATGATTATTTATATTTCTAATAAATTCTGCTCCGAAAAGAGACATTTCAATGTTTTCTTCGAGAGAAAATTGTTGACGTAAACCACCTACTGATAAAGCCGATGATGCATGGCAGTACTGTTTACATATTGTACAAATTATTTTCAGATAACAGCGTAGAGAAAGATTACTTTTATCTTAATAACTTACCGTAGGATCTTGCTCTATGACGATAACATGAAAGTCTTTTGGAAAGCGTTTTTTCAACCAATAAGCTATAGAACTTCCTATTACTCCTCCACCAATTATTGTTACATCGCTTCTTTGCGGTACATTCATAAGACATTCGTCAAGCAATTGTTTAACTCCTTCATCATCATTCCATGATTTAACTGTTACTCTTCTCTTATTTCCTATTGGCTTTTTCGGTAATCCTAGATACGGATTAAACTCTTCATTATTATCCTGTAACATTATTTTTAAAAGTAATTAACAGTTCTACGAATAATGATTATAATATTATTTAAATCATGAATTACTATAAACATTAAAATAAAGTATATATGGGATAATGTATACTATATTTACAAACTGCTAACCTATGTACAATTATATAATTGAAAAATGTTTTTTTTTTTCAATTTTCATAATTACCTTATTCGAGTAAGATCGTATTAACAATTGTTTCAGTCGTTGATTATTAAAAATATTTACTATTGTATTCCTTTGAGCAAAATAGCGAAACATGTTTTTCTTTTTTAACAAGTTTAATATAAAAATCACTGAGTTATATTATAAATTAATAACAATTATTGTCCCAGTTTAAAAATAAATGGGACTATTTGTGAATGTATTATATTAATAAGAATTAAGTAAAAGCACCATTTAGTATGCAAGATCTGCAATAAACTGGCATCATTGTTGTATGGTTACAGTTTAATTATCTTCGACTGATAAAGAAAGTGGAAATTTTTGTTTATTTGTATTAAAAGCATATTTTTATCAGTGATATTATCATCAATAAAGATTAATTTATATGCATGTAAGTTATTACTTGTTGCATATTTACGAATGAATCTATTTTATAAAAAATGTCTATCTATAACCTCAAAGATAACGTGAGTAAGAGCCGTGTGTGTTTACCGGTGCCCATGTATCTACATACATCAAATGTAGAACGATTAAAACTATAAAGAATAAATAGATAATAAACGAAAAAAACAAAAAAGAAATAAGATAAATGAGATAATAAGATAAGTGTTTACTCAACAGATATGATCATTTATTTAATGATTTCGTCTTTAATTTGATTTGAAGAGAATACGATTTACGTATAAATTAAAATTTATATTCCAAAAATATATATATGTTATTAATATTTATTTTTAATATCATTTAATACTATATTTGTTTTTATTTTATTAATAAAAATTACATCAATTTTAATATAAATTTTTTTCAATACATATAGGTGATAGAAAAAAAAATTTTATTAAAATTGTTTACTTTAATGCTTTCTCTTTTATTATTTAATGGAATTACTATAAAAATTATAATAAAAAATAGATATACATTTAATCATATTCGTAATAATATGTGCCAAAAAACGTTGACTATAATTATTTATTTACAATTATTTACTCCTTATCAATTTAAATCACTTATAATTATTGTTGTATATAAACA